TGTAGATAGGGGCTGTGATGTAAAGGGGGACTCTGGTGTAGATAGGGGCTGTGATGTAAAGGGGGACTCTGGTGTAGATAGGGGCTGTGATGTAAAGGGGGGCTCTGGTGTAGATAGGGGCTGTGATGTAAAGGGGGACTCTGGTGTAGATAGGGGCTGTGATGTAAAGGGGGACTCTGATGTAGATAGGGGCTGTGATGTAAAGTGGGGGCTCTGGTGTAAAGGGTTTTTTGCATGGGGTCCCTTAAAATCCATACCAGACCTCTATGTGAAATAACGATCTGTGATGGACTTGGGAGGGGCCACAAGTAATTTCTACATTTACATTTTTGGGGTGCCTTAAGATGTGGAACACTTTTACAGGGCGCTGTGACTGTGACAAGGTTGAAAAGCATTCATAAGGACTCAGATGGCAATAGGGGAAACCCATTTTTTGCATTGGGTTTTTGCATGGGGTCCCTTAAAATCCACACCAGACCTCTATCTGGAATAAGTATCTGGGTGGGACTTGGGAGGAACCACAAGTCATTTTTACATTTAAGTTTTTTGAAATGATAGGGTCCCTTATGATGTTACTAACCGAAGAGATACAATCAGTATATAACATTACTAACCAGATACAATCAGTATATATTATTACTAACCAGAGAGATACAATCAGTATATAACATTACTAACTGAAGAGACACAATCAGTTTATAACATTACTAACCATAGAGATACAATCATTATATAACATTACTAACCAGAGAGATACAATCAGTATATAACATTACTAACCATAGAGATACAATCAGTTTATAACATTACTAACCAGAGAGATACAATCATTATATAACATTACTAACTATAGAGATACAATCAGTATATAACATTACTAACCATAGAGATACAATCATTATATAACATTACTACCCAGATACAATCATTATATAACATTACTAACCACAGAGATACAATCAGTATATAACATTACTAACCATAGAGATACAATCATTATATAACATTACTAACCAGATACAATCAGTATATATTAGTACTAACCAGATACAATCAGTATATAACATTACTAACCAGAGAGATACAATCAGTATATAACATTACTAACTGAAGAGATACAATCAGTATATAACATTACTAACCATAGACATACAATCAGTATATAACATTACTAACCATAGAGGTACAATCAGTATATAACATTACTAACTGAAGAGATACAATCAGTATATAACATTACTAACCGAAGAGATACAATCAGTATATAACATTAGTAACCATAGAGATACAATCAGTATATAACATATACTGCGGTGATGTCACTCCTGTATAATATATCTTATATTTGGACAGTAGTGATGTCACCCTTAGAGATAGGTTGGGTGGTCACTAGGGAATGGCTGAGTATGTAGGTTACAATGTTGGGAGGTGGGATAGGAGAGCTGAGGATGGATGGCGGAGCTTCCAGCGGATGTCCAGTGGTAAATTTGGAATAGTATGAGAACATTTTTGGAATAAGCAGAACCCGACACCTCAAACCGATGAGGAAAGTCAGACAGCAGAGAAAGGGATCTGGCTGGCAGCTTGGACCAGTCGCTCGGCTTTCAGAATCCTATTTCTAATGCTAGCCGCAGACAATGCAATAATTCCACTTGCACCCAAAGTTTCTCTGGTCCAATTATATGAAACACATGAGATGGACACATTCTTTGGACCTGTACATCCAGAACCGCTTGCTTCCCTCTCGCTAACCAATAGGAATGCTCTTAATGACACTTCACCTGTTGACACACACAAACCTTCAACACCTCGCAAATGAGGATTGTTGTCTGGCGCCAGGGGACATATACAGTTTATAAGGTAACAGATATAGGAATGGGTTAGACTAGAACTAAGGTTAGGGTTAAACTAGAACTAGGATTAGACTAGAACTAGGGTTAGGGTTAGACTAGAACTAGGGTTAGACTAGAACTAGGGTTAGACTAGAACTAGGGTTAGGGTTAGAACTAGCGGTAGAGTTAGGTTGGTGTTTGCCCGTGCCACAGCACCCACTAAAACTTATTGCGTGAATGAGGTCATGATCAGTTGTAAGAATGGGTTAAACTAGGTTAAGGTTTAGAACTAAGGCTAGGGTTAGAGTTACTTAGGTATTTACACCTACCCTAACACCCATTCCCTGCCACATTTCCAGCCAGGGAACTTAGGCAATGTTCGAGGTCACACTCAGATGTAAGTATGGGTTAGGATTAAGGGTTAGGTTAGCACTAGGGTAGAATTAGGTCAAATGTTTTCCCTACCACAACAACTTGCCCCACTCCTCCTCCACATTCAGCACCAGATAATTTTTGGGGCTCATGTGGTCATGCTTGGATGTAGGAAGGTTTAACTAGGGTTAGAGATAGGACTAAGGTTAAGTTTAGAACTAGGGGTAGAGTTAAGTTGGTATTTACCCCTTTTATAACACCCACACCTACTCCCCTGCCACATCCGTCACCAGGGAACTTATAGGGTGCATGAGGTCACACTAAGATATAGGAATGGGTTGCACCAGGGTTAGACTTAGGAGTAAGGTTAGGGTTAGGACCAGGGGTAGGTTATTACTTCCCCCTACCGCAACATTCTCCCCCACTGTCCCACCACATCAGCTGCCAAGAAAATGTATGCAATACATGAGGTCATGCTGAGATGTAGAAATAGGTTAGACTAGGTTAAGGTTAAGACAAAGGTTAGAGTTGTAGGTAGTGGTATAGTAAGGACTACAGATAGGACTAGGGTTAGAACAAGGGTTGAATTTAAGGGCTAATGATGGGGCTAGGGTTAGGGTTGGAACTAGGTGTGGAGTAAGGGCTAGAGAATACGCTATGGTTAGAACTAGGGTAAGAGTTAAGATTAGAGATAGGGGTAGGGTTAGGGTTGGAACTAGGTGTGGAGTATAGAGAATAGGTTAGAGTTAAAACTAGGGTTAGAGTTAGGACTAGAGATAGGACTAGGGTTAGGTTTGGAACTAGTAGTGGACTGAGGGCTAGACAGTAGGCTAGGGTTAGAACTAGGGTTGGAGTTAGGACTAAAGCGACGACTAGGGTTAGGGTTGGAACTAGATGTGGAATGAGGGCTAGATAATAAACTTGGGTTAGAACTACGATTAGAGTTAGGACTAGAGTTAGGACTAGGGCAGGGCTATGTTTGAAACTAGGTGGGGAGAAAGGGCTAAAGACAAGCCTAGAGTTAGAACTAGGGCTCGAGTTAAGACTAGAGATAGGAGTAGGGTTAGGGTTGGAACAAGGTGTGGAGTGAGGGCTAGAGATAGGGCTAGGGATAGAACGAGGGTTAAAGTTAAGACTAGAAATAGGACTAGGGTTAGGGTTGGAACTAGGTGGGTGAGGGCTAGATAGAAGGGTAGAGTTAGAATTAGGACTAGAGATAAGACTAGTGTTAGCGTTGGAACTAGGTGTTGAGTCAGGGCTAGAAATAGACCTAGGATTAGAACTAGGGTTAGAGTTTTGACTACAGATAGGACTAGGGTTAGGGTTGGAACTAGGTGTGACGTTAGGGCTAGAGATATGGCTTGGGTTAGAACTAAGGTTAGAGTTAGGGCTACAGATAGGACTAGGGTTAGGGTTGAAAATAGGTATGGAGTGAGTGCTAGAAATAAGACTAGGCTTAGAGTTAAAACTAAATATAGGACTAAGATTATGGCTGGAACTTTGTGTGGAGTGAGGGCTAGAGATAAAGTGTGGATTAGAACTAAGGTTAGAGTTAGGACTAGAGATAGGAACAGGGTTATGGTTGGAAGTAGGTGCGGAGTGAGGGCTAGAGATAAGGCTAGGGTTAGAACAAGGGTTAGAGTTAGGAATAGAGATAGGAGTATGGTTAGGGTTGAAAGTAGGTGTGGAGTGAGGGCTAGAGATAAGGATAGGGTTAGAACAAGGGTTAGAGTTAGGACTAGAGATAGAAGTAGGGTTAAGGTTGAAAGTAGGTGTGGAGTGAGGGCTAGAGATAAGGATAGGGTTAGAATTAGGACTAGAGATAAGACTAGGGTTAGGGTTGAAAGTAGGTGTGGAGTGAGGGCTAGAGATAAGGCTAGGGTTAGAACAAGGGTTAGAGTTAGGACTAGAGATAGAAGTAGGGTTAAGTTTGAAAGTAGGTGTGGAGTGAGGGCTAGAGATAAGGATAGGGTTAGAATTAGGACTAGAGATAAGACTATGGTTAGGGTTGAAAGTAGGTGTGGAGTGAGGGCTAGAGATAAGCCTAGGGTTAGAACAAGGGTTAGAGTTAGGACTAGAGATAGAAGTAGGGTTAGGGTTGAAAGTAGGTGTGGAGTGAGGGCTAGAGATAAGGCTAGGGTTAGAGTTAGTACTAGAGATAGGAGTAGGGTTAGGGTTGAAAGTAGGTGTGGAGTGAGGGCTAGAGATAAGGCTAGGGTTAGAGTTAATACTAGAGATAGGAGTAGGGTTAGGGTTGGAAGTAGAATTAGAACTAGAGTTAGGACTAGAGTTAGGACTAGGGTTAACACTCGGGGTAAAGTTAGGGTTAGGGTTGGAACAAACATTGAGAATGAGAGCTAGGGCTAGGGTTAGGACAAGGGTTTGAGTTAGGAGTAGGGATAGGATTGGGATTAGGTTAATGGGTGGATTCATTTTAAGGTTAGGCTTAGGGTCCCAAGTTCCAAAGGCTGAGAACTGCAGGAAAATTAGGCTATAAGTAGATTTTGGGAATCATATTAAACTGCAGAATTTGGTACTTTGTATCTTTTTGTTCATCTAAACCTCATTTAAAGCTAAAACTATTTGGCATTATCTGAGGCCTTATAGTGAGTGAGGGTGTTGCATGGTTGTCAGGAGGTGATGAAGAGACAAGTGCTGCAGAGCTCTATTTTATGAGGAGCCAGCGTGTCTGGTCAGTCAGTTCAACTTTCATGAAGTGGTCATGACTACGGCAAAACCCAGCACCATGCAACACCCAAAACACATGTTAGAGGAACTGTGTGTCATGAATGCAGCGAATGAGAATGTGAGCAAGTTATGCAAGAAAAAAACAAAAATGTGGAAAAGGATGATTTGTTTCTTTATAAATAGGCCCCAAATATTTGAAGATATCTACTAATAAAGACTAATGCCAACATGTCTGACTCTTATTCAGAATGAATGAAGCAAAATCTATTTCATAGGTATGACTGATTCATCATCCCTGAGCTGAGTTCCCGGGTCTGTACACCCGCTGTGCCCATTATGAGGGGCTCCCACCATCCCTGTGCTGAGTACCCGGGTCTGTACACCCGCTGTGCCCATTATGAGGGGCTCCCACCATCCCTGTGCTGAGTACCCGGGTCTGTACACCCGCTGTGCCCATTATGAGGGGACCCCAGCATCTCTGAGCTGAGTACCCAGGTTTGTACACCTGTTGTACCCATTATGAGGAGCTCCCACCATCCCTGTGCTGAGTTCCAAGGTCTGTACACCCGCTGTGCCCATTATGAGAGGCCCCCACCATCCCTGTGCTGAGTTCCTGCGTCTGTATACCCGCTGTGCTCATTATGAGGAGCTCCCACGATCCCTGTGCTGAGTTCTCGGGTCTGTACACCGGCTGTGCCCATTATGAGGAGCTCCCACCATCCCTGTGCTGAGTTGCCGGGTCTGTACACCGGCTGTGCCCATTATGAGGAGCTCCCCCCATCCCTGTGCTGTGTTCCCGGGTCTGTACACCGGCTGTGCTCATTATGAGGGCTTTCCACCATCCCTGTGCTGAGTTCCCGGTCTGTACACCTGCTGTGCCCATTATGAGGGCTTTCCACCATCCCTGAGCTGAGTTCCCGGGTCTGTACACCTGCTGTGCCCATTATGAGGGGCTCCCATCATCCAGGTGCTGAGTTCCCGGGTCTGTACACCCGCTGTGTCAATTATGAGGGGCTCCCATCATCCCTGTGCTGAGTTCCCGGGTCTGTACACCCGCTGTGCCCATTATGAGGAGCTCCCACCATCCCTGTGCTGAGTTCCCGGGTCTGTACACCCGCTGTTCCCATTATGAGGGCTTTCCACCATCCCTGTGCTGAGTTCCCGGGTCTGTACACCTGCTGTCCCCACTCTTGGGTGGAATGATCCTTTAAATAATATAGGAAATCAAGCCAGCCCCATCCAGTAATGAACCTGGAGCAACTCAGATTAATGATCTGACCGCTGGTAGGTTGCTGTAGTTTGCACCTCGGGCTTTTGCCTTATTGAAGGAAGTCTCAGACACCTGTGGACACAGCGAGTGTTTGAGCTGCCTATCTCCATGTGTTTGCAGTGCATAGGATACTTGAGGACTTGAGGAGTATATTAGGAGAAAGATCTCATGGAGACATATATAGACAGGGGACTAGAAGGAGGGAGGGCTGGGGACAAGGGTCCAAGCTGCCAGGATAGGGTGTCCCTCCCAAATCGCTGACCTCCTACTATCCAGCCCCCTCATCTTCTTTTATGGCCTGGGTTTCAAGTTCTCTCTTTGCTTTTCAGTCTCAGCGCGCTGGTGAGGTGACCACCAGTCGTCCCCAGACTCTCGCCTCCGTCTCAGCTCAGTAGCTCTGTGCCTCGCCCTGGCCAACCTGGGCGCCAGGTGCGAGGACGGGCTCGACTTTCCAGAGTACGACGGAGAGGACAGGGTCATCCACATCAGCCTCAAGAACTACAAGGCTGCCCTGAAGAAGTACGAAGTCTTGGCGTTGCTTTACCACGAACCCATTGAGGATGACAAAGCCTCGCAAAGGCAGTTCGAAATGGAAGAGCTCATTCTGGAGGTACAAAGAGGCATGAGAAAACATTATTTCTACCCTGTAGATATATTGTGACAGGACACGGGTTGGGGTACATTTTTAGGGGGTCACGAAAAGGAGGTCCACCTTGCCAAAGTTCTTCTGCATTGCTCCACCGAAAGGCATCGAGGCTTACCATGCTATTTCCCTGGACTGACCCACACTTAAAGGGATTGTCCACCTACAGATAAGTCTAACTAAACGGATTGTGCACGCCCTCCTGTAACTTTTTTACTTGGTCAGAAGCTTCCTTCTGTCATTGATTCACTTCTAGAATAATACAATGTTGCCAGTTTGTTTTGTTTTGCCTCATTTACGACGCAGCTGTCCTTCCTATGTTGGCACCGTTGGAGCAGAAGAGCTGCTTTGTGTCTCCTCCCACCGCAGTGTTTTTTTTTTACTTGGTTGCTTCGGTTCACAGTCAGCTTTGCCATCTGTTGCCATTTTCCTGTCTGCCTGCTTTGTAAGCCCCTCCCACCGTGCCTGTGACATCACTCAGCGCTATTCTTGCCTTGTTCTGGTTGCTCTGTCAGTAAAACTGATGCATGGCTTATGCTACTGTCTCCCCCCCCATCATATGTTTTTGCAGTTTAGGACATTCCATCAGGCTTGGTTGGGATTGGATGATAGTGTACTCCGTGGGCCGTGGGCTGTCACCAATCGCAGCTCAGCTATCTGCAGAATTTGAGATTTGTGCTGAGTCGACACAGCTGATTGGTTAATGTTACCGCTGCTGTATAAAGGGCTACATGAGCACATTTTTTTTTAGTGTGGCCTTAAATTAGTGCAGACATGAACCCAGTGAAGGTTCAAACAGCCAAAACAACCACTCCGACACCACGAAGACTCCTCACTACAAATAGGTTACAGCAAAAATAGATGTGCTGAAATTTTGGTGTTTGGTGGATTCTGGAGTGAAACCACTTGACTCGGCACTTTATCTCTTGGGGAGAATCCAATTTACACAACCATTGTGCCCATTATGAGGGGTTCCCACCATCCCTGAGCTGAGTTCCCGGGTCTGTACACCCGCTGTGCCCATTATGAGGAGCTCCCACCATCCCTGTGCTGAGTTCCCGGGTCTGTACACCCGCTGTGCCCATTATGAGGAGCTCCCACCATCCCTGTGCTGAGTTCCCGGGTCTGTACACCCGCTGTGCCCATTATGAGGAGCTCCCACCATCCCTGTGCTGAGTTCCCGGGTCTGTACACCCGCTGTGCCCATTATGAGGAGCTCCCACCATCCCTGTGCTGAGTTCCCGGGTCTGTACACCCGCTGTGCCCATTATGAGGAGCTCCCACCATCCCTGTGCTGAGTTCCCGGGTCTGTACACCCGCTGTGCCCATTATGAGGAGCTCCCACCATCCCTGTGCTGAGTTCCCGGGTCTGTACACCCGCTGTGCCCATTATGAGGAGCTCCCACCATCCCTGTGCTGAGTTCCCGGGTCTGTACACCCGCTGTGCCCATTATGAGGAGCTCCCACCATCCCTGTGCTGAGTTCCCGGGTCTGTACACCCGCTGTGCCCATTATGAGGAGCTCCCACCATCCCTGTGCTGAGTTCCCGGGTCTGTACACCCGCTGTGCCCATTATGAGGAGCTCCCACCATCCCTGTGCTGAGTTCCCGGGTCTGTACACCCGCTGTGCCCATTATGAGGAGCTCCCACCATCCCTGTGCTGAGTTCCCGGGTCTGTACACCCGCTGTGCCCATTATGAGGAGCTCCCACCATCCCTGTGCTGAGTTCCCGGGTCTGTACACCCGCTGTGCCCATTATGAGGAGCTCCCACCATCCCTGTGCTGAGTTCCCGGGTCTGTACACCCGCTGTGCCCATTATGAGGAGCTCCCACCATCCCTGTGCTGAGTTCCCGGGTCTGTACACCCGCTGTGCCCATTATGAGGAGCTCCCACCATCCCTGTGCTGAGTTCCCGGGTCTGTACACCCGCTGTGCCCATTATGAGGAGCTCCCACCATCCCTGTGCTGAGTTCCCGGGTCTGCACACCTGCTGTGCCCATTATATTATGTAACAGAAGCAGCTGGAACATACAAAGGTGGGTGGCAATAACCTTTTAGTTGGACAGAAGCAGAGATGGAAATGATGGCTGGGAGATCTCGCTGTTGGAGTGTCCAAGACACATAGGAAGCCAGGAGCTGACTCAGCTCATCATAGTCCACCTAAAATGTCCCTTTAGAGAGGACTGTCCCTTTGAAACAAATTTGCTTAATAAAAACATTTCCATGCAAGCAAAACTTACCTTGGAGATGGAGATCAACTTCCTGAAATATCAAATGTCAATTTTTAAGCCATCCCTAAATGGTCAGCGCACACCAAGCTATTTCAGTTTTGAGTGAATGGATTGACCTCAACTCATGGGCTTCAGAGGTGAACTCTCTGCCCTGGCCCTCCGAGCTCCAACCCTATGTGATGACCTTTCCAGTCCTACAGAAGTTCTGTTTGTTCTATATTACCAGTCGTGAGACTTCATAGTAGGATGGGGGAAGGAGGGGAACATTTTGGTGGGAGATCTTGATGTTGCAGTCTCTGAAATAAATAATATATATGGCATCTCAGATCAGGAAGTAGCTGGTGACCCCGGATGATGCATGAACATACATCTGAGTATAGGTGCACTTGAGGTCTAATATCCACCAGTGATGAAAATCTCAGATGGGGTTGAACAAGGCCTTCAATGATTGATCTCTATATTGCTGTTGTGTCTTGGCGAGGGGAATTTATCTACTTGTGTAGCAAAGGAATGGCAAGCTTCCTGTTTCAGATCGGTTCTTCTGAAGGCCCTAGGTGGACTTCCAAATTGACGTTGCTCTAGTTCCCCGAATACATACCCTTACGACCAATTCAATACTTTTTTTAGGGTTGGATTTGGACTTTTCGTTGGATGTTTATAAGTATTGTCTGTCCATTTTGGTGGTTCTGTTGCATTAGGAGTTGACCACTAATGGGACACCAGCCAAACGCAACGTGCTGGGAGGGGTTAAAACTTCAGTTATTCTGGGCCAGCGACCTACTGAGCAGTATCCTAGCAGATAACTGGACAATTGGACAATTAGTCAATTGTGTGTTGCAATATATCTACCTACAATATGTTTGTTTTGATCATCTCTGAATTCGGCCAACTTTTTAGTCTCCCCAGATGTCATCTAAACATTTATAATGGTCCATTAATGGTCCTTTGGTCCTCAAGGCTCAATAATGAACCTTCTTCCTTTGACTTGTTGTCTCCAAGTCATCAAGGCTCAAGGATGAATCTTCTTCCTTTGACTTGTTGTCTCCCAGTCATCAAGGCTCAATGATGAACCTTTTTCCTTTGACTTCTTGTCTCCCAGTCATCAAGGTTCAATGAGGAACCTTCTTCCTTTGACTTGTTGTCTCCAAGTCATCAAGGCTCAATGATGAACCTGCTTTCTTTGAATAGTTGTCTCCAAGTCATCAAGTCTCAATGATGAACCTTCTTCCTTTGACTTGTTGTCTCCAAGTCATCAAGGCTTAATGATGAACCTTTGTGGACAAGACAATATGTCTTGTCCACAAATTGGCTTTCTTCACCCATATTCTGGAGAACATTGACTTTTAATTGTCAATTTTAGGGTTGTCCACAAGTACCATCGTATATAGGATTAACCAGAAGCAGAAGGTTGACTTAGAAATACACCTGATAGGTGGGATGTTGGGTTGCCTGATGGGTTAAGAGGCTAGTCTTTCTAGCCGTGTTATAATGGAGTCCTGATTCATGTATCAGGTTCCTCCCACAACCCAAAAACGTACTGGTAGGTCATTCAGCGTCTTACTAAGCTGGTTCCATTATAAATGTCCTGAGTGGCCATTAATCTACTTCTTTATCTTGGTGATCTTAGCGATGGGAGGACTTTTCAAGGGCTTTCATGGGACTTCAAGGGACTCTAAACATACAAATGTTGTAAATTAATGGTCACCTAGCCAACTTAAAGGAGAACTATGAGGTGAGTGCTTTTCACTCACCTCATAGTTCTAGCCGACCTGTGACAATGAGAATGTCACAGGTCGGCTCAGTAGATCGGGAAGTGAGCGAACATACCTGCATTCGCTCACCTCTCGATCCTGTCACGGTTCTCTGCCGTGACAGGGGAGGGGCTGAATTCCCCGCTCCGATCCGCCAGCGCTGACTAGCGGAACGGACGGGGGAGGGGGCGGGTACAGCTGGCTCTGCCTCTAGATAGGCAGATCCAGCTGTCAGTCACGCAGCTGGGCGGATCCCGGCACAATTGTCGGGTTCCGCTTCAGCTGCGGCGTCTCAGTATACCGCGAGCTACAGCTCGAGGTATACTGAGCCTAGGGTGACGGGAGGACGCTAGTTTGTGTCCTCCCGTTACCCTAAGGAGAACTATGGGGAAAAGCCTTAACCCCATAGTTCTCCTTTAAAGTGACATCGGGGATCTACTTGTACCCAATCAGAATTTGGGATGGAAATAGTAGAAGTTATCTTCTGGATCTTTCACTGGAGGACCGTTCAACCATTTAATATATTAGCACCAAGGCCCTGAAGGACTCTTTGTGAGATCTAAAATCTTGGCCTCCTAGCTTCGTCTATCTACCAAGTCGAGGTCTCGTGTTCCTCACTGGGGTTTTCTTGTATGTAACTCAACTTGTCTTCATGTTTTCAAATGTATAGTTCATGCATCGTGTATGGTATTTGTAGGTGTGTGTGTGGTTGTTGGTGGTGGGGTGGTTGGGGGGGGGGGGGGGGGGTGGGGGGGGGGCGGGCTTAGCTTCCTCCTCTTCTCTGGAGCTTCTCATTGTTACTCCTCGTACTTGCATACTTTCTTGTCATGGTGCCACCTGGTCAAAGTCAGGTTCCTTCAGGAACTTAATGCCCAACTTTTGCTTTTTTAAGTTGACCTCCGTCTTCCCCTTCAGTCTTCTATCTGACCTCCTTTCCTTCCCTTCAGTCTTCTATCTGACCTCCGTCCTTCCCTTCAGTCTTCTATCTGACCTCCCTCCTTCCCTTCAGTCTTCTATCTGACCTCCGTCCTTCCCTTCAGTCTTCTATCTGACCTCCGTCCTCCCCTTCAGTCTTCTATCTGACCTCCTCTCCTCCCTTCAGTCTTCTATCTGACCTCCGGCCTTCCCTTCAGTCTTCTATCTGACCTCCGGCCTTCCCTTCAGTCTTCTATCTGACCTCCGTCCTCCCCTTCAGTCTTCTATCTGACCTCCAGCCTTCCCTTCAGTGTTCTATCTGACCTCCGTCCTTCCCTTTAGTCTTGAACAGTTGTACCGGCTCCTCCCCTCTTCCTCTGATGTCACGGCACACTGTGAGCTTCTCACATGGGTTGCATGGCACCCTTATTGGTGGATCAATAGTTCCTCCATATCACCAGCACATCCTATGGTCACTCACAGCCTTTTAGTCACTGATGAAGGACCCCTCAAATTTGAGTCTTTGACGAGTTTAATGAAGGAACTGAGGAAGGATCTCCCCATTTCCTGTCTAGTTGATGGGTTGCCAGACAAAAGTGAAGGAAAATATGACCACTTCCTGTCTATCTCACTGGTGTCAGAACAGGAAGTGAGGGGAACTCCTCCAATGGGGACACAGACAGTGATTTGTTAGTGGAGTGAGGAAAGGTTAGAACCTCTGTCAGGGGATTATTGCCCAATGCATGGAAACACAACGGGCACTCCAAATCAACTGCTTTAATGATTGATGATATGACCACATCAAAAACAGTCGATGCGTTTCGGAGGCCAACACACCCCCTTCTTCATCTGGGCTTCAGATTGTTATCAGGACTCAGCGAAAACGAATATTGGGACGCAATTTGTTACTGATATCCCAAGAGTAAGCAAGCTAGACCAAATCCAGATAATGATCTCAAGCCCTGATAAAAGGGGGGCCCATGGGCCCCTGAAACGTGTTGGTGCAGTTTGGGTCACATTCTGGGTACCTACCTAAGGGGAGTCTTGCTTCGCATGAGCAACCTTACCTGACCCTCGTGGCCTGAACATGAAAAGTCAACTGATTCCTCCATTAACGCTAAATAGCATGGATGGAGTAATCTCCCCTGACGACTATTGCATTCAGGCAGCCGGCACCCATGGTGCCCACCTCAACAGTGGCTGCATCTGATTGGCCCAACAGGGCCAGTAGGGCCTCCTGATTCAGCTCCCTATATGTATTTTATACTTTTACTTTTATACTTACCTTCTGCAGATGTCTTCAGGCCAGCCATGTCACGTGACCTCTTTCAGTCTTCCCTAGCACTGGGTGGTCCTCAGGGTGATATGGAGAACAGTGCTGCTGTGATGACATCAGTCCCATTCTCTACATCACTGAATGCAGGGTGCTGTGGTGATTCTCCCTTTGGGGGGGGGCGGGTCCATGACTCCCTGTACTCACAAGATGTCCTCGGTGTCTGCTGGGTCTCAGTCTCATGCTGGGTGTTATTCAATCTGGGGGACTGAGGACATCTAGAGGCAGAAAGGGATAACTGCAGGGGACAGCAGAGTCTATTGCAGCAAGAGCTGCTTGTTTTATATCTGCTTGGGGCATTTTTTGTTTGTTTTTTGGGTACTCTTGCAGCTTAATGTAACACGGGCCAAGGCCACCTGTCCAGTCTTCCTTTAAGCATTGTGATTGGCTTGCTCTTGCGCTTCGGGCATAACTATACCATGCTATTGCTATAGGGCCCAGCAACACTGGGGGCTCAACATTGTCTTCCTACATAATAACATATACATGTTGCAATACCCTAAACGTATATCCACTTTGGGAACCTCTATAGAGTAATCTTAAGGCCAAAAGGATTCTGCATCCCTAGAAGGGTTGCCTTGGGGATGGGTAGTAGGGAGCATTGGGTCCCTTGATAGTCCTGCTATGGGGCCCCATCATGCATAGTTATGCCTAGGGTTGCCACCTGTCCAGGATTCACCCAGATAGTCCGGTTTTTGAGTCCTGTGTCCGGGTTTCAGACCAGCTGATACCCGGACACTTTACATTTTTTGACAGGGAGACGGAAGAGGAGATGTGCGGGCCCACTGCTCACAGGAAGGCTGCCGGGGTCCCCAGCAAGCGCGGGACCTTGGCAGCCTTCCTGCGAGCCACAGGCGCCGGCCCGCACATCTCCTCCTATGTCTTCCTGACACCACGCTGCCCGCCTCCAGACCCCTGGCGAGACACTGCACAGCACTCCTGAAGGTCTGCATAGTCCACATAGCCACCTGAGACCCCACACAGCCACTTGAAAGCCCACATAGCCACCTGCGAGCCCACATAACCCACCTGAGACCCCACACAGCCACTTGAAAGCCCACATAGCCACCTAGGAGCCCACATTCCCGCATAGCCCACCTGGGAGCCCGCATAGCCCACCTAGGAGCCCACATAGCCCACCTGAGACTCCACACAGCCACTTGAAAGCCCGCATAGCCCACCTGAGAGCCCGCACAGCCACTTGAAAGCCCACATAGCCCACCTGAGACCCCACACAGCCACTTGAAAGCCCACATAGCCCACGTGAGACCGCACACAGTAACTTGAAAGCCCACATAGCCCACCTGAGAGCCCGCATAGCCTCCTGACAGCCCTCACAGCCCACCTGAGACCCTGGAGACATCAGGGAGCCGCCCCGGAACAACACATATGTCGCTTGATATTTATTTTGTATTGCTGTATAATGTATTGCTGGAACTTGTAGTCCTCTCTATCTGGTCTCCTGACTCCCTCCCCTGGCTGCCCCTCCTCGCTCTCTCCTCTATATTTCCCCAAAAAACAAAATGGCGGCGCTAGTTTCTTCGGGTTTCACTTAAAGAAAAGGTGGCAACTGGCAGGACTGGCAGGATCAA